CATAACCTAGTTTGTCTGCTGGCTGAGTTGAGACACAGAACATATTAGCTTTTTCGAGTGGCGGGCGTCATCTAATTTCACACCTTGCTGTGGGTGCCAAAATATAATACAGTGTAATCTAATATAGATGATAATCATCAAAATGTCCAAAATATGATTTTTCATGCCTATAGGACAAGGGCATTTGTGAGGCACTAAACCCATATTCCTATTTTCACCCATGCAGCAGATTCACAGGATTTGAACCCTGGCTCTGGATACTTTATATTTAATGTTGTTATTCCCCTGAAGGAGTAGTTCAGCTTAGTTCCACCAATGGTTTTTCTAATGTGGCAGTTGCAAGATAATCATAATTATTTCCTAGTGATGACATGATAATGATGTGAGCAGTGACTCAGGAAATGGAGAAAGAGGTCTTTTTCAATTCTGCTTCCATTCTTCTGTGACCTGAGCAAGTTATTATCATCTAGTTTCTCTCCCTCAATTCAGCCTGCAAGCAACGAGAGTGGGTTTTAAATCTCTGGTGATTGATTGCTTGACTGATTAAAAACCACACCTTGCCTGGATATTTAAAAATAATGGTTCAGAAAGATAGATACCGTGCAAAATTGGAATGGAAGGTATTCAGCTATGAAGAATTGGTAAGGGTATGTCTGGAACATACAGCTCTTGGCATACCAATCAAAGGTGATGAAGGGGTGTGAGATTGTGCGGAAGCTCAGAGAGTAACACATCTTAAAGTTGCCAAGGTTGAGAAACGCTGCTCTAAACCCTGATTGTTGGCATTCAAACTAATTAAAGTCTGCTTGAATCTTGGTTCCTTGACAATGCTCTGAAGTTAAGGGGCTTGAGAACAGGTGTTCTTCAACAGAGATCACTGGCCCTCATACTGAAGCAGAGGGATCAGAGGAGAGGAGAGTTGGGTTAATCTATGGTAACAAAACTTCAGGAGGAATCTGACTTTCGCTTATTAAACTTAAATGTACAAAATCTACAAAAGCCTATGCCTTGTAATAAAATTTGTTAATTGGAACAGGTGTTGCTAGATTCCTTCAGAGGGATCAGGGAACACATCCCAAACTGCCAATTTAGAATGCAACCCCAGGCATTTCAGAAACCTTGATTGCCTAAAATAACTCTCCCCTTGAGCTTCAAAACCTACAGAATTTCATGTCACTGTAAACTAAAGTTACAGTGCTGTATGAAACTAGATGTAGTAGTATATCTTGGGACTGCAAGCATCATAAATCCTAAGAGATTTGCATGGCTAGTCATAAAATATTTCATCTGGAAGAGAGAATGGCCCATAAAAACTAATAAAGGCACATTATGTCAGCAAAAGAAAACTAGCTATCCAGATTTAAGGGAATTTATTTCAGATATTACAATGGAAAACCCTAAACTCTAATCTGGAGGCAGCACTTTTCCATCACGGAAGGAAGAACGTTGCAAAAGACAAGACTGGCAATAAACTCTAAGCTGCATTAAAGATTGCTCGAGGGTGAATTCAAAAGTGTTTATTTCATGTTAACATAAAATCAGTGCATTTTTACTCTTTGCTGCTTGTGTATGCATTAGTCAATTTTATTACCAATAATCAAAGGTTTTTACAATTTATATCTGGGGAGTGGGAGAGGGATTAGGCATAGAGATCAGATCAAATCATCACATGTATAACTTACAGGAACAGCTTTTAAAACCTTCCATCTATTTTTTTTTTTTTTTTTGTGGGGAGCATCAGTAACAAGAAGGCTTACATCCCACATATCCAGGGATAAATTGCATGCTTGCTCAAAGTTTAATCAAGATTTTTTTTGGGGGGGGGGTAGCAAAGATACAAAGAATATTTGTACAAATTTCAAAGAATTGCATATTGTGTATCAGCCTTCTATAACCTCATGTCCTCCCAAGGTTTTCCCCCAGATTTCAGGCCAGGTCAGTTTGGCCAGGAATTCTGAGAGCTCTCACCCAAATGATATAGAGTATACCAAACTGGGAAATACTTGATAATTATGAAGTCTGCATGTGAGAGCTACTAAAATCTATTTGCACACCTCCCATCCAGACAATACTGTCTGAAAACATACATCCATAAATACTTGTTTCAATTCAAAAAGCCAAGAAAATAAAATAACATAGTCACACTTGTGAA